TTTGGGAACATCTTTGCTATCATCACTCAGATGGGACAGTTTTGTGGACATCTGAGTGCGAGGATGGGGCAATTTGTGAACATCTGCTTATGTGGCCGCGGATTGATAACGAGGCTCTGACGATCCCCTCAGGGGCTCACAACTTGTGAGTACGGGAATGGTGAACCCGAGGTACCCTAGCCGGATATTCACCATACTTCAACTTGTCTTGGGTGATATCCTCTTCTCTCTTCCGTTTTCAATCTTTCTATCGGCCTTTCTTGGCCAACTTCTCTTTTCCTCTTCCCCTTCAAGCCCAACCTCACCATCAAGTGGTGTGGGGAAGGCAGGCCGCGGCCGCTTGGCGGATGAAGCATTTTGGGACCATCTTTGCTATCTTCTTCCAGATGGGACAATTTGTGGACATCTGTGGCAGGGATGGGGCGATTTGCTGATGTTTGTCTAGGTGGTCGAGGTCTGGTCAACGAGGCTCTGGCAACCTAATCCAAGCTGTGGGAACCCGTGGCGATGGATGGATGGCACCGAGGAATGGTGTCGCTAACGGGGCCTCTGGGAAACAGGGCGACATCCCAGAGTAAACAGCCTTAGCCCTGTGCAGGGGGCACCACAGGGCTGGACCAACCCCTTCCCCCGTCACTCGTAGGAGAAGGAAAACTTTTGGCCTTCTTCGTAGACGAGAACAGGGATCGGAAGAGCAATCTTCAGGAACCTGAACGAAAAGGGTCTTTCATATTGAAGTTTCCCTTAATAGGCACCATGAGTCGTATGTGGTAAAATTGATAACGGCATGTAGGTGAGATACAATGGGCCACTAGGCCTAAGTGTCGTCGAAGCCTACAACGGGGTGGAGTGTTTAGTGGGTATACCATGGAGGGGACTCCCACACTATCATATGGGGGATTGGACCCATATGATGTCTATAAAAGATTTCAACCACCTCGGCGAAAAAAAAAAAAAAAAAAAAAATGACATCGACGACGTAAACTTTTTATGTTGCATGTTTTCTGTCTCGGATAAAACCCTTTACTTTTGATTCCTGTGCTGTCTGTCAATTGTCAAGTATTTATCAGATGCAGATCAGATAGTTATTATCAGATCAATATCAGATAAACAAAGTTTTTTCAGGTTTCGATCCAAAAGATGAATGATAAAGAAGACTTGGAAGAAGAGTTAATAATAATATCATATTTATACTTGAAGATTAAAAAGAGTAGGCTCATAATTTATATTCAGAAATGAATTTATGTGTCTGTGGCCATTTTGAGAATTACTTTCGTATGAGCAAATCTACTTTCGACCATCTGCTGATGCTAGTAGGACCTAGCATTTCTAAATTGCATTGGTCACGAACTCCTGTACCAGAAATCACCAGATTAGCTTTGACGTTGAGGTTAGTTTCCTACATACTTTTATTCTTCAGCATCCTACTGTATTTTATTCGTTTTCAGATATTTGGCTAGTGGTGAGAGCATGACTAGTATATCCTAGAGTGACTATATAAATAGAGTGCCGTCAATAGTGGTTCACTTTTTGATTGATCAGGCCATTAAGATGGAGGTGTATCCGCCTGTTTTGTTTTCTCCAACATTCTCTATGATTCTATGCATTCTGTGTCACTTTTTCACTGTTTCTTGCTGTTTGTCTGTCTGTTTACTCTGTTTAGTGTTTACTGTTTACCATTTCAGGAAAAACTGTGATTAGTTTATAAACTTTACAGAAATAAAATGAAAAAACATAAATTTGAAAATTTTGAGAAAACCGAAGAACTCTTCATCGTATTTTTGTATTATGTAATAATCCTTCTTTAGCATAAATGGTGCCTGAAAGAACAACTCATTTTATAATATCAAATACAATTATATTAACAATATAGGTAATTTTTTGATAGGGTCTATTCTTCAGATATTACCATGAACATGAAAAAAATGAAATATCAAAAAAATATCTGTAATCTGAAAAAGTGAATTCTTACAGAAAATAACCACTTTTGTACTGATCTGAAGCATTGAAGTTGAAAGGGTTTTGCATAATTTTAGAAATATATACCTGCCTACACTCAATACAAAAATCCTTCTTTTCATTTATAAAGTCAAATGGTAACATCACAGAAGATGAAAGCGATTACTGAGTGATGGACATTTGTATTGAGATGGAAAGTATTGTGCAATGTCTTGAATGTTTTCCAGTTTTCTACTTACAACCTAGAATACTTATTATGAAGTAACCTAGGTGCCATTGATTTCTCAGTACCCACACAGCACTCGACGTCTTGAAGACGTCCATTTTTGGTCCATTTTATGCCTGAAGGTCCAGCGGCATAAAAAGGACATCTCAAAGATATCTTCCTTGGTACGTCTTAGAGACGTCCAAAATTCGACGTCTTTGAGTTGTCTTTTACAGGTACATACAGCGTTTGTTTACTGGAAACTAGTGGCGTCAATTGAAAATGAGAATCATATTATACAGAGTACAAAAAATCGGCCGGAAATTTTCTAAAAATGAATTTCGCACGTATTATTTGTTGCGCCCTGTCTCTTTGCGTTCTGTCTCTAGATGCTTCAGTTCTGGTCAGAATATTCTTGCTCTCTGATTTAAACGTTTCATCTCGCTCTCACACGAGTGTTAAAGACAGAGAACAAGAATTTTATACGATTATCATTTTTTGTCATCATGGTTGATGATGTTTTAGCCTAGATTAGTAGATTCAAGCCTCATCAACGAATACTCAAAATCAAAGTTGTACTATCCTTGCATAGATAAACTACACTCTAGTTTGTCTGTGTCTCCTCTTGGATCAAAGCATCGAATAATAAATTACGAATTACGAAACGAACGAACGCTGTGCAACTGTAGTTGTGTTTGCTCGTAGTTTGTTGTTTGTAAGCGTCTGTTTTCTAGACTAAATGGTGGATTTATGCAGCAATTTCAAGTCATAAGTTGTAAGTCGTAAGTTTTAAGTCATAAGGAGTTGATTTATTAGTTTTCAATGTTCTCATTTATACACTTTACCTAAGTTTTAAGTTGTAAGATTTAAGTCGTAAGAAAGTTGGTCAACTTTTATCTCTTACGACTTATAACTCAAAACTGATTGTATATACGCATGCGTGTAAAATTTCACATTCTGTGTTTCGTGACTTTTGTGTCATTCCCGTCATTTCTGAAAAATGTGAGGTTAATGTACAGTGTGTCCAGTTTTCGATGCTTTTGTGGGATATCTCAGTTATCTTTGGAGATAGAACCTTGCGGGTTTCGCGGTCGTGTGCCACTTTTTTGTGAAACTCAAGATGGCCTAATCAGATTTTGCATAACTGTTTCCGTTTATGAGATACAGGGCGATTTTGAAAATTTATACTTTTTGGACCCCCTCTATATCTACGAAGTTTCTCAGCAAAAATGTCAAATTAAAATCTCATCCCATATAAAAATTCACGCAGAATCCAGTGGCGCACTCAAATTTTTTTTTTCGGGGTATGGTTTTGGAGATACGACTCAAACTTATGATTTTTTAAATGGAACACCCTGTATTTTATAAGCTCATAAAATTCCTCATTTTTTTCTCTTCAAAATGATTTATAATGTAAGTATATGAAATATTCAAAAATGCTCTGAAATCACTGAAACATTGAATTTTAATAGTGGGCTATTGATTTTTCTTATAAAATTGTTCCAATTGAAGGAATATTCATTTTGATTTTTCCATAAAAAGGACAAAAACAATATCAACACTAATTAACTAAGAAAACACAAAAATTATGTACCTGATATCAACAAATAAATAGTAATAAAAAGTTCATAATGTAGAATAAGCACCAGATCAAATATTTACAAATACAATTGAATTTCGGAATTATTCAATAACTTATTCACTGAATTGTTCAAATTGATGTCCATTTTCCATAACACACAATTGACACAGTTTCTCAATACGTCTTGATACAGTGAGAGTCACAAATATCTTGAAGAACTTCGTGCAACAACCAAGGCAGTTTTCCAGGAATTACAAAGACATCCTTCAATGATTTTGAATGCATTAAGACGTATTGAGAAAGCGTGTGAGGGAAAGTGGACATCAATTTGAACAATTCAATGAATAAGTTACTATCCAATTGTCTTAGTGAATATTAAATCAGGTGCTTATTCTAGAATATGAACTTTTTATTACCATTCATTTGTTGTTATCAGGTACCTAATTTTTGTGTTATCTTAATTAACTAGTGTTGTGATTGTTTTTTTCCTTTTCATAGAAGAATCAAATGAAATATCCCTTCAATTGGAACTTTTTTTAAATGAAAAATCCATAGCCCATAACTAAAATTCAATGTTTTAGTGATTTTGGAGCATTTTTGAAAATTTTATACCTATTCATCATATTTCATTTTGATGGGGAAAAAATAAGGAATTTAATGAGCTTATAAAATACAGGGTGTTCCATTTAAAAAATCATAAGTTTGAGTCGTATCTCCGAAACCATGCCCAGAAAAAAAAAATTGAGTGCGCCACTGAATTCTGCGCAAAATTCTGTATGGGATAAGATTCCAATTTGACATTTTCGCTGAGAAACTTCGTAGATATAGAGGGGGTCCAAAAAGTATGAATTTTCAAAATCGCCCTGTATCTCATAAACGCAAACAGTTATGCAAAATCTGATTAGGCCATCTTGAGTTTCACAGAAAAGTGGTACAGGACCGCGAAAACCGCAAGGTTCTATCTCGAAAGATAACTGAGATATCACGCAAAAGCATCGAAAACTGGACACACTGTACTTGTATTTATTTATTTTTTTTCGTTTATTACATTCTTATCATTCCATAATTTGGCAAAATGGAAATTGACGACGGCCAACTTATAGAAATTGTTCGACAATTTTCAATAATTTATGATATGAAACATCAAGATTATAGGAATCATGAAAAAAAAAGCAATGCCTGGAAAACTATCAGTGAAACCATGCATTGCCCAGGTAAAGTTTTTATTTTGAGATTCCATTGAATAGATGAACTATGTTTTTGATTTTCAAAGCTGCAGAATGTGAAGCGCGTTGGGCTACCCTTCGAAACTTGTTTACGAGAGAATCGAAAAAAGTTAAAGTGGTACCTTCTGGTTCAGGTGGAAAGGGAAAGACGTGGGTTTGGTTGGAGGAAATGGGGTTTCTCTCTGAATATGTTCGAAGAAGGAAGTATGTTTTATAGATGTTTTGAATTATTGTTCAAGATATCTCTGATGCAGCAATTATTTTCAGGACAAAAGGTAATGTATCGAAACCTCTACAAAGTCAGAAAATAGAAGTTTCGAGTCAATCTGATAATGTATGGGATACCATGTCTGAAATATTTAATACAAATGAACCACAACATATTGAGGAAGCAGGGCATGATGAAAATCTTGATCCCATGTCAGATATTGAGCTAGTCAGTGATGATGCAGAGCCAGAAAGAACTGCCACAGGAAAAAGAAAATTGAACCATGAAGAACCTCTTCCTGGTACCTCAACTTCAACTAAACCTGCCAAAAAATCTTCACCATCTATTAGCATTTTGCGAAATGAGCGCCACGAGAAGAGGAGAAAGATTAGTCAGCAATCAACACTCATTGAAACAATGAATAGTGCTTGGACTAAATTTGACAAAGTTATTAACCAAAGCAGCCAAAAAGAGGAACAACCTGATTGTTTATTCGGAAGAATGGTGGCTGCTGAATTAGGAAGCATTGAAAATATCAACGTCAAATTCACTGCCAAGCAGGAAATAATCAAGATTCTCCACCTGGCAAAAAATGAACAGATGCAATAAACTTTGTCAAGTTTGAACCGAAGCACATGGGAAGGTATGTATTGTGAAATTCTTTGATGGTTTTTAAATATCTACCCAGGTATACCTTCCCTTGTTCTGTGTTTAGAAATGGACAACCTGTGAGATTTATGATCATTTTTGTTTTATGTCAGTTCCTATATTTTTTATCTGACTGAGAATGTTACTTATGTTGTTTTTTCCCTTTTAATAATATCATTTTCATTTCTTGTACCTGTTTTGTCGAAAGAGAACTTTTTTTTTTATTTTAGCAAACCCCTGTACCTGATTTTTTATTTTTTTACTTTTTTGCGCTTTTTATTTCCCTAGGTACCTGTTGAAGTTATATCAATATACATTTTAGTTCAGATTTTGTTAACTTTTTATTTATACCATCCCAAGTAGAAATTATACATGAATGAACTGTATTAGTCTTCGATTAGTACTGCTTGAGGAATAATGGTCTTATGAGTGTATTTCATCATCAATTTATTTTCAAGTAATTATAAAAAAATAAAAACCAGCATCATTTAAATTTAAAATCAACAGCTAAAAATTATCAGGTAGTGAACCCTTCAAGATGCTTTCCAACTGCCAAGGTACACTTCCTACTTGGCTATTGAAGTTGGCTCTTACAGGTGCTTGTGCATTGTTAGCACCTAATCTGCCCACACTTCTGAGATAATTCCTCTCTTCCCGCCATGCTCCAGGTATTACAGTACCATCAGAGGTGTCATAATCTGTGTAACCTGTGGGACAATAGTGTCTTTCCTCAAGAAGTATATCTTCCTCAGCTCTCTGAAGATAATTATGGAGCACAACAGTCGCCAGAGCAATATTCTCGCAGGTGCTTACATCACCAATTATTGGTTTTCTCAGAATACGCCATCTCTGTGCCAGTATTCCAAAAGTATTTTCAATTGTACGTCTGGCCCTGGGGCCTGGACAACCTTTAATTAAAAATTCTTATTCTCTCTCCTGCATTTTGTTATGGATATGGCCTCATTATGTGGTGGGTTAGAGGAAAAGCAGCATCAGCAACAAATACATGGGGAAAGATAACATTGGTATTAGGTAATTCGAAATCTTGGGGTAATCTCAATGTTGGGATTATCATCCGCTTTTGAACTCCAAATATAAGAAATAATCAGAAATATAACATTTCTAATGCAATTTTATTAATTTGATTGACAATATTCGAAAAACAAAACTTATTATTATTTTACATAGCAACAGTGTTAGGGGACACAGTTTTGATATGGCACGTGTTAGTTCTCCATTCTGTGTTTTTACTGATGAAACACGAATCTTCCCATCAGGTCCAGGAAACACAGCAATAACTCTTCCTAACATTGGTATTAGGTAATTCGAAATCTTGGGGTAATCTCAATGTTGGGATTATCATCCGCTTTTGAACTCCAAATATAAGAAATAATCAGAAATATAACATTTCTAATGCAATTTTATTAATTTGATTGACAATATTCGAAAAACAAAACTTATTATTATTTTACATAGCAACAGTGTTAGGGGACACAGTTTTGATATGGCACGTGTTAGTTCTCCATTCTGTGTTTTTACTGATGAAACACGAATCTTCCCATCAGGTCCAGGAAACACAGCAATAACTCTTCCTAACCGCCAGTGAAGTGGTGACAAATTGTTGTCTATAATAATCACTAATTGTCCAACTTTTAGATTGTCTTCCTCTTTTGTCCATTTGGTTCGTTGCTGCAGCTCCGTCAAGTACTCTTTTGACCATCTGGACCAAAAGTGTTGATACAACATCTGTATGTGTTGGAATTTGGATAGACGATTTGTAGAGATATTTGTCAAATCGGGATCTGGTAGTGTTGTGAGGCGCCGTCCAATTAGGAAATGATATGGGGTGAGGACATCCAAATCATTTGGATTTGAGGATAATGGGAATAATGGGCGGGAATTGAGAACTGCCTCAATTTGTGCAAGTAAAGTTGAAAAACCTTCATATGTCAGGGACGCTATACCCAATATTCTTTTCAAATGATGTTTGCAAGAACGGACTCCAGCCTCCCATAAACCACCGAAATTAGGAGAGTTAGATGGGATAAATTTCCAAGAAATACCATCGTTCGCGAATGTTGATGTTAACGAAGTTGACTGAGTTTGAAGAAATTCACCTAATTGCTTCAATTCTGCGCTGGCCCCTTTGAAGTTTGACCCATTATCTGAAAATACTTCTGCTGGTTTACCTCTTCGTGAAACAAATCTACGGAAACATGCAATGAATGCTTCTGTTGTCAAATCAGTTACTACTTCTAAGTGGATTGCTTTTGTTGAGAAACAAATGAATAGACTTATCCAACACTTTGGGGTTTTTGCTCCACGTCCTTGAATGTGTTTAATATAGAATGGCCCTGCATAATCAATGCCAGTAGTATAAAAAGGAAAAGAAGGTGTTACTCTTGCTTTAGGAAGAACTCCCATGATTTGATCAAGTGGCTTAGGATTCGCTCTAAAACATACAATACAGTTATGTGATACTTTCCTAGCTAAGTTTCTTCCTCCAATTACCCAATAGTTTTTCCTTATCGTACTCAATAAAAGCTGAGGGCCAGCATGTAATAAACGTCTATGTTCCAATTCAAACAATAAAATAGTCACTTTATGTTTTGCTGACAGCAGAATGAGATGTTTGATACAATATTCCAACGAAGATAAATGCATTCTACCCCCCACCCTGAACAGACCATTACTATCAATGAATGGACTTAGTTTGAGCAAAACTTTGTTGGAGAGTGTATTATTGTTTAATTTCAAAATGTCATCTTTGAAAGATTTCATTTGTGTGATTCTAATGAGTGCAGTCATAGCGCGATTTAATTCATCTACACTTATTAGTTCATTTTCAAATTTGGGCTATTATTCTTTTGGGACGATTCAAATTACTAAACCTATCCAAATCAATTTCATCATCCATAGTAACAAAATTACAAATTTTTGTCGAATCTTTCAGTTCGGGCAAATCATCTGATGGATGTACATCGGATACAGGCCATTCTGATTCACTCATCATGAGCCAATCAGGACCCGTCCACCATTTTAGACAAGCTAAGATGTTTACAGGGTGCATACCTCTAGATAATATGTCTGCTGGGTTGTCTTCAGAACGTTTGTGATTCCAATTCACAGTTAAAGATGAACTCTGAATCTGAGACACCCTGTTACTTACAAGTGTTTGTAAAGTATTAGGAGATCTACCAATCCACCCTAACACTATTGTAGAATCTGACTATAGATAAATATTCTTGAACTGAATACTCATAGCCTGTTCAATGGTTTCGACCAACTTCACGAGTAATGAGGCTGCACATAGTTCCAACCTAGGAATTGTGAGTGATTTCAAGGGAGCAACCTTCACTTTTGAGCAAAGTAATGAAACATTGTATTTCCATTAAGCCCGATACTTTTCAAATATATACATGCTCCATAAGCTTGCATGGAAGCATCAGAAAATCCATGAATATCAATTTTAATAGGATTAGGACAGACAACGTGTCTTTTAATCTTTAGCTCATTGAAGTATACAAACCGTCCTCGCAACTTTTGCCACTGTGTATTCAATTCTAATGGTAATGTTTCGTCCCAATCCATTTTCTCACACCATAACTTTTGCAGTAGACTTTTCGCTATCATTACACATGGACTTACCAGACCAAGAGGATCAAAAATTCTAGAGACATCTGATAAAATTGACCTCTTCGTGATTCTTGTTGATTGTTCAGAAAAGCCAATAGGAAACATTAGATGATCCTGTTTAAAACACCAATAAAGTCCAAGAGTTTTTTGTACATCTTTCTCCCCAAAATGAACTTGATCACCACCTAACATTGATTTTCCAACCTGTTGAAAATATTGAGTAACTTCTGAATCGTTTGATAACCATTTTCTGAGTTCCATACCACCACTTTTCAATATACCATCCACTATACATGACAAATGTTAATAGCTTCTTCAGATGAGTTACAGCCTGACAGCATGTCATCTACATAAAAATCATTCAGAATCAATCGTGACGCCTCTGGAAATCTATCTGAATGATCACCACCTAACATTGATTTTCCAACCTGTTGAAAATATTGAGTAACTTCTGAATCGTTTGATAGCCATTTTCTGAGTTCCATACCACCACTTTTCAATATACCATCCACTATACATGACAAATTTTAATAGCTTCTTCAGATGAGTTACAGCCTGACAGCATGTCATCTACATAAAAATCATTCAGAATCAATTGTGATGCCTCTGGAAATCTATCTGAATGATCCAGCCCTAATTGCTTCAAACATCTAATCGCCAAGTAGGGAGCTGATCGAGTACCATGAGTGACCGTATTCAAATTATACTCAAGCAGTTCCTCACAGGGTGAAGACCTCCATACTATTTTCTGAAGTGATCTATATTCTTTGTCAACCCATATCATTCGATACATTTTAGCCACGTCGGCACACAGAACTACTGCATGTTGTCTGAATCTAAGCAATATATGAAAAAGATCATCTTGTAATTTAGGTCCAATGAATTGAAGATCATTCAAAGAATGCCCTGTGTCTGTTTTGAATGACCCATTAAACACAACCCTCAACTTTGTTGTTTCCCTATTCTCGTCCAATACACCATAATGAGGTAAGTAGTAAGAAATTTGATTTTCTGAAAATTCATGACACACAGACATATGACCCGTTTGCAAGTATTCATTCATGAAGGCCACATACATTTCTCGCAATTTGGAATTTTTAGCTAGCCTCTTTTCTAACTTCAAGAATTGATTGATAGCAGGTTTCTTTGAGTCTCCCAATTCAGTAGGAGAATCTAATAAAGGAATCTGAACAATGAACTTATTATCTTCACATCTCTTAGTAGTCTGACAAAATATTTTTTCACATTCTTGATCTTCAAGTGACATGACAGTATCCAAAAGTGGAGATTCTTCTACTTTCCAGAATTTCTCCAGTTGTGAGTGA